GGCGGGAGGTGTCGGCGCTGCGGCACGTGCCGGGGCAGCGCCTCACCTCAGCCCCCCAGCCGTGCACACCCAGCCCGCAGTGCCAGGCCGGGGCAGCCCCACCTCGCGGCGCTTTCCCCTCAGCAGCAGGGCTGCCTTGCGTGGCCACCTCTGGCACGTGGGGGCTCGGCCAGGTGGGCTGGCATGGGGGGCACGGCCCAGGTGGCTCCCAGCCGCCCGGTGGGTCAGGGCTTTGAAGTGTACTCTGGGAACGAAGCTGCTCGGAGTGAGAAAACACCTGGGTTGTGTTTCCAGAGCTGCCCTTGTGGGTCAATAGCAAGCTGCTAGCGCCAGGAACTGCAGCCCTAAGGAGCAGCTCGGGGGTACCAAGATCTGCCCCCAGAGTGGCAGAGACAGGCCTACAGCTCATCTGAGGGGAAGGAGCCAACTGGAGATGGCAAAACCATGCCTTGGTGCTCCTGAAACTGCCTGTGTAGGAGCAGAGTGGGGGGCTGAGGTTGTGGTCAGGCGGTCCTAGCAGACGCCCAGCTGGCAAAGAAGTCTGTGCTCTAAGAAGCTTCTTTTTTCCCTTCCTTCCTCCCACTTACATAGATAGATCATGCTTAAGGCCCAGCTTCAGATGTTGGGTTGCTTCTGTTTTGTCCAATGCAGATGAAGCAATCCTTCTGCAAAAGCATCCTTTCTATTAGGCTCATTCATGGCTAAGCAGTGCAAAAGTTACACGGCTTCTGGACTATACTGAACAGACTGAGATGCATCTCACCAGCTGCAGTAACAAACAGAAGCTGCTGCTGCTGCCAACATCAGAGCATATGCTTGACAGATTTTTCCTTGAAGACTCCACCAAAATTGAAAAAGTAGGCAGCTTCGCTGGTGTCTTTGGGACCTTCCTATCCTTCCGCTGCATTCAGAGGTCCATTGCAAAAGGCACTTAATTCAGAGGATTAAATCTTTGATTTTTTTTGTTCAGTGGACATTGACATTTTTTTATAAGAATAAATTTTGCTAAGCCTAGTGTGCTACAACCCCACCCTGGTAAGGTCTCTCTCCAGCTAACTCATTTCTTTCCCCATCTTCAATTTTTTTGCTATACCCCACTAAGAGAGACTGTGGCTAATCACAAAATCAATAACCAATTCTGAACTCCTCCACAGTTTAGTTGTGTTCAACTGTGGGCATTTATTTGGGACCTACTTCTGGGCCTCAGCAGTGACCATGAGACAACTGGCTGTGAATATGTATTTATCTACCTAATGAAAATGAGACCATTTAACAAAGATGGTAAAATCATACCTTGCCACCAGGACAAACTCTGAAGAGTGGGACTTCAGCCAGGGCATGGCTGAAACTGTATGCAACTGTTTCCTTGACTGCTGTATGCAATGGTCTGAAAGTGTTTGTTGGTTGGTTTGAGTTTGTTGTGTTTGTTTTTGAAAAGCACAGGTTTGGGCCTGAGACATAGGAAAGTCCTCCTGTCTTCTGGCCACATAGCGTGATACTACTTTGGGGAATGGTAGGGAGATACTACTTTGTATGAATGGTCTTCCCTTGTTATACAAAATCAGCCAACTTAAGTGAAAGTTTTAAGGTCTCTTTTGTATGCTTGACACTGTAGTTGGGCATTTAAAAATATTTTGGCAGTCACTGCAAGCATAGCAAGGTGCATCTGAGAGCATATTAGGTAAGCAGGGGTGGTCTCTAGCCATTCTTTTCCCTTGCTCCAAGCAGCTTTTTATTAGCTGTGTCATATTTGGCTAAAACTACGTTTAGAGTTAGAAAGAAGGAAGAAGAAAACAGTCCCATGGGCTTCAATCTGAAAAACACTGCTAAAACAAGGGTGACTTAAGGCAGGCTTGTCCAACATACTCTGCATGGGATGGACCCGGCTGGGTCTGCACTAGCCAGGAAAAGCAGCATGCAGCTGAAGCCGGCTTCCCACATGTTGCTGGGGACAGGAGGAGCCCAGCCAGGTCTGCACTGGCCAGCAGAAGCGGTGGCAGAGCCGTGTGCCTCTCAGGATGGGATGAGCCCGGCTGGAGCAGCAGGGGCTCAGCTGCATTTTCCCCCTGCCTGCACCAGTCAGTCCCAAGCGGCACACGGCTCCGCCACCGCTTCTGCTGGCCAGTGCAGACCTGGC